ACATACCTAATATATCTCCAGAAAAGTTTTATGAACGACGTCAACCTTTTATAACTTACATGATTGTAAGTTATTTTATAATAAAGGAAAGATTAAGGAGTGAGTGGTACGTTAGAGCCAGTGTTCAATTAATGTCTGACATGTACTACTTACTGAATTAATATCAAAATACTATTGATAGTAGTAAAAGACAGTCTCTTTGAAGTTTATTCTAAGAAAATCCTTCGAATTTCTTTAGAACATTTAGATAAACGGATGAACGTAACGTTTATCGTAGGAAAAGCTTCCTTCTTCCCTAGTGTTTTCAGACAAAATTCGATTTTTACGTAAACGTGTATCGACATTCTCTGATTTTTGAGTCGATAATATATGCCAGAAGTCTCGAGGCATCGCGAGAAGAAACACAGCTGGAGGGTGTATGTATGCGTAAAAAAGAAATAGAAAATGAAAAAGTGTATGTGTGAGAGAGAAAGAGAGATAAAAAGAACATAGTGATGATAGTGTTGTAGTAGTAGTAATAGTAGTGGTAGTAGTAGTAGTAGTAGGTAGCAGGCAAGGAAAGGTAAAGCAAACATTTTTCGTCGAGTGAAAAAGTTCTTACGAGAGCGCATGCTCAACGAACACACGCTTAGAAGGAAAAAGGGCTTAAATAACGGAAAAACCGAGTCGAGAAACTCTCTCTTTCTCTCTCTCATTCTATTTCACTCGCTCATCGTAGAAGAAATTCCAGCCAGTAGACTTGTTTATGAGCATGGACGATGACGCCGTACGAGTTGATTCTGTGCGAACACGTGAGACCCGCTTTCCGTAATGATTAACGAGCATGTTATTAATCTCTCGGCATTGTTGAGAATATTTAACAAATTAAATGCCACCTAAACGTCGCCTAGATATTGTTAATTAACGAAGATGAAAAAGTAACGGTAGTTATATCTATCGTGAAACGAAGAAATTATATTGAATACGAACTAAAATGGATTTTAATGAAAAATTTGTTTAAAGGGACAAATTGATGGGACAATTTGAATTACGAATAAAATGGACGATATTTGATGGTGTTATAAATGCTATTTTATTTTATGAAATATTTTTCCTAATTATTAAGATATATCAAAAAGCAATTATACGTTTTAATTAAAAGAGGACGAATATGAATATTTTCGAATTTCATTTGAGAAATTATTATAAAACGGCACTAGGCAAAAATGCATAAAAAGAATAAGGAGAAATCCAGTCGATGTCATAAAAAAGTGACTTTCGAATTAATTGATAATTTCTCTATCTCTCTCTCTCTCTCTCTCTCTCTCTCTTTCTCTTTCTTGTAATTATTACAGAAGGAAAAGCGGAAAAGGAAAGAAGGATAACTAGGTGACCAATTAATTAGCAACTTTAACGAGAAATTGCCCAAAGTCTAATAATTTCTTTGTCGAAGATATATACACAAGTAGCAATGATAGTTTTGAAAAAGGTAACACAACTTGAGTGGCATTTAAAAAAATAAAGAAATGAAACCAGGTCAAGTAGGAAGGATAAATCGAAAGACGGGCTCGAAATCTTGTTCGTGGCACGAATTTTCTTCGTTATACTCGTTAATATCGGCAGCACCAAAAAACTTCTTTCTCGTATAATTCGTTGAAATTGGAATAACGAGGGTAGAATAAAAGACTTGACGTACTGATAAGATATTAATAATAAAAATTATATCAGTCTATGCGATAATTATAATCGAAAACGTTTGAGATTAAAATTGAATATTCAAATTATTCGAATAATCGTATATAAATACATACATCTATATAATTACAGAATATTTCTGTATTCAATAAAAAAATGAATGAACTTTAGAACGAAATGAAATGTTTTTGTATATAACTGGAAGTGCACGTAATTATTTACTTACGTGCCAAAGTTACGCTTTTCTTCAGTAGGATAAGAGAGAGAGACGATAAATCTCGAGACGTCGAGCAAGGAGTGTAAATTCTAACGGTGGGCTAACGGTATGCCGTAGCTTCAGTAATTTCTGCATACAGGACTACGCGCTAATAGCCGTAATGCCGGTGTACCATCGGAATCATTATGCTACCTCCCCCCATTAGCATTATAATGATTAATAGCACGCTAAGAGATGCGACAAGCGTTTCTTGTTTACGCATAGCTGAGGTAAGGAGTACGACACGAAGACTCGGGTGAACGCTTACTATACTAGAAAGACCAAGACTGTTCTTCGAAGACGACGACGATTAATCGTCGTCGTCGTCGTCGTCGTCGTTGTCGTCGTCTTCGTAGACTAACGAGTCTTCGCACCGACCCATTTTGAAGGAACACGTCTCCAGCCGGCAAGAAAAAAAAATATAGGAAAAAAGAAAGGAAAAAAAAGGGTAGGAAGCGAGAAAGGTGTGCGATGCGACGCTTATGTATGGGTGAAATTGAGCCAGGCGTAATACAGACGCGAAAAATCCCGCAGGCACGTGACGCAACGTTATTGCCCGTTCAAAAATTCCGGGATTGCCGAGCGAACGAGCCAGAATACCAACTTGAAGGCACTTTGAATTTGTTCGAAAGCAACCTCGTTACGGGACGGCTCGCAAAGTAGGTCGCATGAAAATAGTGGGGACGTTTGAAAGCGCCTCACCGTACGATTTAACGTCAATAGGCCACTTCTTTATCCCTTTCCTCCTTGCTTATTCTGTCCCCTATTTTTTTGCTTCTTTTATCTCTCCTTCTTCTCTGTGTCTATTTCTCTCTTACTCTCTCGCTCGCTATATCCTAGTAGTTTTCTTTTTATATCCCTCTCGTATATCTCGTAGTATTAATTTATCTGCTGCTCCTTTTTCCTCTCTCTTTTTCCACTCTCTGTCTGTCTGTCTTTCTCTCTCTCTCTCTCTCTCTCTCTCTCTCTCTCTCTTTCTCGTCCGCATGTACTTATTTTCATTCCACTACCACCACGAGTCGTCTTCCGACGTTTAAAATACACGAAGACATGCCACCAGGCGTGGAGCGCATCTTTGTGACCCTTCGGTGCACACAGAGAAATACATACAAACACACGAACAGACACAGACAAATAGCCTTCTAACGTCTCCTCATCCACCTCCACTTCGTGCTTGCTTTTATTCTTTGACGGTGTTTTCTTTTAAATGCTCGGACGCCTTCATCTCCTTCTGCATTTTCGCATCCGTGACGAAAAAAAAGAAAAGATAAAAGTAAAAAAAAAAAAGGAATGGAAGTAGAAGAAAAACGAATCTAAAGATTATTTCTTCCGACTCTATCCATATACTTAAATGGTTTTTTTTCTCTTGAGAGATATAAAAAAATATCGTTGATCATGTTTAAAGAAAAAAGTAACAATACACGGATTTCATGATTAACGAGTTTCGAAGAACCTAATACTTATAAAATATTTGTTATATTTGAACCGTAGCTTTTTACGAACGTTAGAAAAAGTGCGAAACGTAATACATATTTTGAAGGATCTATAATTATCCTCCATTACGTTTATACTCATCCTATGAAAAGGAGTTTAGGTTTCATCGATCTATACACAATACTACAACTTTTATCAATCGATATCCATACACCCCGATCTCATCGTTAACGAGGATCATTTATAATTATTATGAACTATTGCAATGATCCGTTATAAATGGTAACGCGATTCTATGATCTTTCGAATGGGATGAGAGTACAAGGAGAGAGAAAGAGAGAGAAAGAGAAGGTGGGAGAGAGGTAGATAGCTCTCTATCCAAGCATTTATCGCGCTAACGATGTAACATCGTACACGGAGAGCCGATGGTTGATCGGTTTTCATTACTTACGCCCCACTTCGAGGATAGCGTCGTGTGGTTGAGCCAATATACTATAGTTGATATAGGGTGAAACATTTAAGATTGATCAACCAAATATCTTTCATTAAATATTTCATATAAAAATAGAGACAAATGAAAAATATGAAATAAACATTGTCATTCGAGAAAAACAAAAATTGTTTATCAGTGCATAATAATTTTACAATCACGTTTACAAAGAATTTTTGTAAAACATCTATAAAAGATGTTCAGGTGATTTGTTTTACGTGTCTCACCCTTTATACGCCACTATGTATGTATAAGAACGACTTGTCACAAGGGACAGAGAGAAAGAGAGAAGAGAGATAAAGAGTTCTATCGTAGTATATAAATGACGTCCTTTGCCGAAACTTCTTCAACGCTATACACAACAACGTATAACCTTCGATCTGGTGTAACCTCGAACGAAGTTCACGACTAACACCGCTAGTAGGTACCTACAAGCTGTTTTATTATAATTCCGTCGGTTCAACTACCACTTTACTACTTTCAACCACCTTTTTTACTCAGCAAAAGAATTCTTTTATCGATCGTTAGTGAAATATATAGATTTACTTCGGCTCTATATAAAATTAATATGGAATCTTAATGATATTAATGGATGATAATGGAAGGACTAATTTGTAAGACGAACCGTCGGTCGAGGCTATCACGTGATTCGTGGGAAATTAGAAAATATTATATAATGCATGATATACAGGCATCTATTGTTATAGAACACAGAAGTTAAACTTTTGAAAAATAATATAAAATAAACGCGTTTATGTTGATCGTAATAGTATAACGAAACAACTTATTTTTCATACGCTCATACACTTTGTCTATAATGATTGTGATGCATAAAAATATATTTGTCTTTTACATTATAAAAATAAATTTAGTAGTTGCGTCATTGGTTGCTAAGTTTAACTTTGACGATATAATTTTATGCATAACAGTCGATCGAAACTTTTGGTTTATTTTGTTCGTCCTATGCTTCATTTTCTATGTGTTAAAAACACAGATACTTTGTAATAAAATAATAATAAAAATGATAATACATCATAGAGCTATCATTTTACTATATAATCTTTATAAAATTCTAATTGACATATTTACTGATTAAACACACACACTTGCAATTAGTGTTAAAAAAAAAAATGAAATAAAACATACCACTTCTGCCGGTCGGTATAGGTGCGGCTGTGGATCTTCCTGTAGGTTCGGGTATCGGGAAGACGCAGCATTCTCTTTCGGGGAATTCGCTGGCACGAGCGAAACGAGTAGCACAAGAAAATAGCACGAGAATCGCAACGACGAGTAATTTGCCAATTGGCGCGAAACGTGGAAGGTGCATAGGAACGACATGTGACATGACTCGTCCTCTCGTCCTTCCTCTTGGAAGGTAATCCTTGCCTCCTCCTTCTTCACAACCTTCTCTTCTTCCAGCACCAGCACCACCTCCTTCTCCTTCCCCTTTCCTACCAATTTCTTTATCGAGCTTCATCCGTATACTTTTCTCGATTATTTTCAACCTCTCCCGAATAATTTTGTGGTTACGATCCTTTCTTCGAATTTCGAAAGTCTCCTCTCGAGAAGGACGTCTACGACGGCGGCGACGGCGGCGGCGACGACGACGGCGACAAAAACAATCTGTCCTTCGTCGCTCGATCCTCGCAAAGTCGTCCGTCCCATCCTGCAATAGGTTCTCCTCCACTTGTCACGATATATCGTCGATGTCCAAAGGACAATCTAGGCGAGTACCGACATTCTTCGTAACTAACTCGAGAATAAGATTTCTTTTCCCTCCCATCGGGTGATTCACCGGCACCGATGCTTACAAATATCGTACGATCATAACCGAACGATCGATATTTATCAATTATTTTTCAATATGTATTAGTAATATTATTATTATACACCACCGCGAAGAAAAAAGAAAAAAAGGAAAAACGGAACAGAACGTTTCCTCCCACCTCGCGTGCAGATCTCTGCAATAGAGCCGAAAATAATAATAACGAATGATCGCGTGTGCGCGCGCGCGCGCGCGCGCTCACGATTAAAGCCCGCGCGAACTTTGCCGCACTGATTTTGACGCACCCGACGCCGAAATACCGAAGAATATAATATATCACGTTTATTCGTTATTACGAATAAAATAATGTTTTGTGTACACTACCCGTAATCGACAATGTGATAAACGAAAATCTAGCAAGTAAATTATCTATGAATATACATATATGTATATCAATAAATATATATATATTCTGTTAATAGATAACTCTACTCGATGACACACGATTTCGATAAAACTCCCGTATAACCGAAAAGACGCACTAGTGGTGCGTTGGGCCCCGCGCGCGCGTGCACCGGCGAACGCTACTCGCAAACTAACAGACACGGAACGGCGCGATTATCATCCGCGCGCGGAAACGTTCAACGAGTGCGCGCGCGATATCCTTGGGTTAGGTGAGCATAAATGAGAGAGAGAGTGAGAGAGAAATGGAGAGAGAGAGAGAGAAAAAGTAAGAGTTTTCGCGTGTTCGTGCGTGTTAGTAATATACGAGAGAGAAAGAGAGAGGAAAAGAGCGTCGTCGCGACGTCCCGACGCCCAATGACGACGGCTCTGCCGAGCATACGAGCGAGAACCGTCGTGCGAGAACTCCCTCCACCCCTCCTTCACCTTCAACCACCACCTCCACCTGCCGGCGTCGGCACACGATGGCTCCTGCGCGCGATACCTGCGGCGTCGCGCGCGCAACCCCTGCTTCTTTCAACCTCCCCTCTTCTTCTCCATCCCCTGCGCAACCGAAAGAGAAAGAGAAAGAGAGAGAGAGAGAGAGAGAAAGGAATAAATGTATGTATGTATATATGTATATACGTCCATGTAGTTAGAAAAGAGAGAGAGTGAGAGAAAAGGATACGTATATATGAGTCTGTGATAAGAGAAAGAGAAAGAGACATACGTAACCGTAATAAGAGAAAATGAGAAAGATAGAAAGGGTGAGAGAGAGAAAAATACGAACGTAGACGAACGAATCCGAGTCATTCCGAAAGAGAGAACCAACGTACTAACCCCCGGCCAGCAGCCGGCCACAGCCAGGAAGAAAGAACTGACCTCCTTTTGAGACCCCTTTTATCGAGGTCGCTTACGCGGAAGTCGCACGCTCGCCTCTTCACCTCTCCGACCAGTAACCCTTCTTCTTCTTTCGACCAATGTGCCCTTCTAAGTAGCGTGCTTTCAAACTTGGATCACCGTTCGAACTTTCCTACTCGAAAAGGTCGGAGATCGAGAGTTCACCTATAGCCGATTGAAGGTCGACTTTAAGAATAACCTTTCTGAAGATCATCTTTTGAGTACTATCCACCATTCAATCTTATACAATATTATTTATCCAACAATCTATTGAAAAACAAATCGATATTTAAACGAAAGGAATGTTCATGTTTATATAAACTGGATTAATTATTTTTTAGAAGAATATGTTGAAAATTGTTGAAATATTAATGAAGGAAGTTTTAACTTTTTGATAAAGAAATTAGATAGTTTGTCAAAAAAAAATCTTATTATATTATTGGATTTATATAGAAATATGAATAGTTTTATGTAACTCTATATGTGTGGTATAATATGTTAATGTTAATTAAAGTTATATCTTATACATTAACAAAGGTTTTGTCGCGAAAGTAAGGGATTAGAAAGGATTGCAGAAATAGTTGGACCTAAGACCTTAGGGCAATTAAAGTTAAAGAAGCGTGTTCTGTATATGTGTTTATCTTCAATTAGACAGCCTGTCTCTTCTTATATTTATAATAATAATAATAATAATGATATGAGTAGTAGAATAAAACGTAACAGAATTAAGGATATATATTATATCTATAAGCTTGTCGTTAGTTAAATCCTTGTGTGATAAAATGTTGTTTAAATATAATATCATATAATTCAATTTCATTGTATATTAATCGCGTTTGGAAATTTTTATGAAATTCATTTAACTTAACCGAACGTATAATAATTTTACGAAATCCAATATGTATCATATATAATTATAATATATTTTATATTGTCTGATATTTGAATATATTATATTTAATCATATCAAATTTTACTCGATGAGATGGAATACAAATATTTACGATAACGAAAAGAACTATTGCGTAAACAATAACGTCGATTCGCCTGATTTCCATCGCTCTCAATTTCATCGACTCGGGACGTAATCCGCAAGGACTACGTCAGTTCGGTCGAAAGTGATTAAAAAGGGGGAAAAAAGAGAAAGACAAAAAAGATCGATAGTACCTTTGACCGAGACGAGGACACGGATGCTAGTAGTACGAGCCAACCACTACTCGGGCTAACCCCGACCGTGCCAGTAAAACGAGCTACTCGTGAATCAGTCGTTTCTATACTCACCAACACATGTAGGTACACACAGAGAAGCTGTTCGGACATACAACATATATCCGTATATACGCGAATAGACTTTGTGAAAGAAATCTTAAAGGTCAAAAAGCTCCAGTCACGCAACTCGATCCTATAAAAAGGATTTAGTTGATTTTGCGATTTATGAACTCCCTTCCCCTCTCTCTCTCTTCCTTCCACCACTTCCAATCCCTCCCTTGTCTACCTATCCTATTTGAATTACGTTAAAGTAGACATTCCATAGAATATGATGTGCACGATTAATTGTATACAACAATTACATGTACAAGTATATAAATATATACTAGAATCGATTCTCTTCCGAAATACAATAACAATGCACTTTTACGTGACTACATATTGCATCCAATTAGCTAAACAATCGATCTCGTTCGATCATATCCTCAATATATTGTTATAACTCGATTCTTTATTATTTATAAAGAAAATATGAAACTTGTGTTTACGAGATAATAGGTAAAGAAAAGTTGTCCATCGAATCAAATTTCATTGTATCAAAATAATTATTCCAATCGTAAATTTAAATCTCGATTAAATAAGAAAAAGAATGAAGAATGATAAAACACAACGCGTATAGCGTTTAAATAAATATTTAATATAAATATTGTATCTGAAAGGTGACAAAGATTGTTACTTTGAATTCAAAGGAAAGAATTTAAGCACAGTTTAAACGTTCGCTTTAGATATCGAACAGGTTTCCTATTCTTTCTTTACCTTCGATCGTATGTCAAAAAGAATCGTTAATGACGTTATAACATATTCAATGACTAGACTATGGTATCGGTGACGGGATCCTTAGAATCGTCAAAGCTGAAAGCGGGAATGAGAGAGAAACAAAAAGAGAGAGAGAGAGAGAGAGATACAGAAACAGAAACAGAGACAGAAACAGAGAAACGGACAGAGAGAAAGAGGAAGGGAAGGGTAGGAGGAGAATCAGGGTGAACAGGAGAGAAATAAAGAGGGTGAGGGAGAGGGAGAGAACTCGAATCGGCGATGTCGGTCTGCGGTCACGACGAGCCAAAGTGACAGGCAGTACCTGCATAATGACTCGACTGCGGCCGTGCAATGCGGCGCGCAAGCTCGTTCTACGATATACTATTGTCCCCACTCTGACCCCCATTGAACTCCCCACTCTTATAATTTTATTACTATCACATGGAATGCATATTACAAAATCTATAGCAGCAACAACAGCAGAGACAAACATACTGTAATAGCAATCACTGCCGAACTTGCTTAACATCTTTCGACAAAAATTTAGTTCTTTCTTTCTTTCTTTCTTTATTACTCTTATTAATAAGAAAAAGTAGGAAAAGAGTTTCGTTTCTCATGTTATTATTATTTTTATTATTTCTTCTTTTTGCTTTTTGAGCTATTTATTTTTAATTAATTTTGTATTCTTTTTTTTTGGTTTTTTGTTCTTTTGGTTTTAATTAATCATAAGATCTACAATTTCTTCCACTTGCAGGCGAGCTTTCTGATTAGTTGGCAAATTTTCAATATAACGGCTTCTTGTTAAATTGATGTTGATTTTGTCCTTGAGATTTAATCATTTGAAACTATCGTAAAAGATGTTGAAGGATTATTCCAGTGGTAGAGTAGAATAGTACTAAAGAGAGAAAATAAATACTTTGTTCTGTTTAATAATTTATTTTTCCCTTCTTATCCTTTCGAATGGTCTTTTCCCTCCTATAAGACGGATTGAATTAAGCTTTATAGTATTTTATATTTTTATTTTCTTTTCATAAATAATCGAGAACTATTTGTATCTAACTAGAATTGTTTAATGTGTTTTATGAATGTTTTAGGTGTTATACCCGTTGTATATATGATATAAACTGTAATATTTTATTATTATTATTATTATTATTATTAGTATTAATATTATATTGACCGTTACTTAGTTTATAAGACATATCCTGTAAATTATGATTAAATTGTTTTTTTGTCGAGGCATTTTTGATATTTGACGAATAGAATATTATTACTTTCTGAAACATAAGCGGCTTGACTTTCTTAACATATCAAATCTTAGAGAATGAATGACCGTATTACGTAAATAACAAACGATTCTTATTAACGTTTACATTTAACTAATTATAAATTCCTTCTACACGTCTCTTATAATGATCGCGAAACGAAACTAGTTACATATACATCACAAACTTCTCATTTGAATCTGTGGCACGTATTCGCGAAAACGTGACTAACTTTGTCTACGGATACCAATACAGTAATTGCATAATTCGATCCTACCGAATTAAGTTTTAATTTTACTAACGCTCAGAAGTGTGACCGCGTATTCAATTGTACGTAAAAGTAATTGTCATATGTGAAATGCACAACGAATATTTCACTTATTTCTACCGTCGTGAAAAAAAGTATTTTTGGCAAAAATGTGTTATCTACTTTGTTTTTCTCCTTTTTTTTTTCTTTTTTTTTTTTTTTTTTTTTATTGGAAAGTAAAAAAATATCTTACGGAACATAGAAAGAAAAAGTAACGTAATCTCTTTGGTTGAAACATTTTCATTTATCTTATCACAAATCTTAATCGTACCGACGTTGGGTCAAGGTACGGAATAATAAAGAACAACTCGATCTTATAATTAAAACATATTAATTACATGCAAATATAAATGGTTTTACATGGTAGTGCTACCAAATAAATGGTACAATATGAGGATGACCGTTGCGCAAAAAAACGAATAAACACTTATTTCATTCCCAGTTTTCACACGCCCAAAGACTAATGACGCAATCAATATTTAATTAAATTTCATCAAAGATCCAACCAATCATCATTTAATTTAATTTTTTATCAAATCTATACTTACATCTCGTATAGGAAATTATTTCTATTGAAAGAGATGTATTTATCCGTCAAATTTTAATGGGACTTGAATGCAAGTCGTAGTAAATACATGCAATCAAAATCTATGAATTTGCCGTAATTATTTATTTGAAAAAAGAAATGAAAAAGAATAACATAACATAGAGAAATAAAAATAAAGATTAATTTGAATATATTTCAATCAATTGCAATTGATTATTACTATTATTATTTAAAAAAGCTGTGAGAAATAAAATTAATCTAACAGAAATTGATTTATATAACGAATTTATTATGTGAAAAAGCTTACGACATTTAAAATTCACTATATGTGAATAATAATCTTTATATTTTCTTTGATAAACAATGATT